TTATTGTCCAGGCCCTTCCATTAATGCAAGAATCATGTTGGTATTTTAGAAAACCAAGAAGTGGAAATTCACATTGCTATCTGGTTGCTTTTTTCTACTGTCTCAGAGGGGTGTAGCAAAGGAGGATTCTCTTGAAATACATAAATGTGTATATTTCTTACAGCTCTGACTCTTAAAAGTTTTTAGGGTTTTTTCGTGTATTTGTTTGGTTTTTTAAATCATGAGGTCTATTGTTTACCACTTTGAGGTTCTACCAAGGACTGGCTCTGTCCTAAATGATCTTTGCTGGCTGATAGGATCACTTCTTGCTCATACTTTAGTCTCTCTCTTGCCTGCCCTCTTTGAGTAATTCACAGGCAGTGTAATAAGGAGCTACACAGTTTTAGTTATTCATTCGTCTTGAGCACAACACATTCTCTTGATTTCCATGATTGTCCTGCCAAGGATCTCAGACTAGGTATTTGTAGCCTAGAATAGCAATGAGCAGAATTTGGAAATCCTGATCGCTTCTTAGCCCCTGCTGGGTATAGAGTTCTGCCTCGTAGGGCTGTCCTTGGGAGTTGTAACAGGAAGGAAGTGGTCAGCTTTGGACCTATCAGTTAATTCCCCACCCCCTTCGCCCACACCCACCTCCCACCCTCTTCAACGTGTAAACACAGTCCCAGGAATCTTGGGCTCTACTGGCCATGGAAAGTTCTGCCTCAACCCTAAATCAGCCTGAGAGACAAGTTACAGCCAAGAAGAGCTGCTTTTGATTCTGGCAGTGACATTCCAATGGAGAGCAATTAAAATAATGGAAGTTTGAAGAGCAAACAAAGACAAGCCAAGGAATTAAAGCTTTTTCACCGAGAAAAAATTAGAGACTTGTCATGAAGTAAAAAGTGTATCAACATGGTAGCTATGTAGCCATTTTTATTGAGGATGGCACGAGAAGGAATATTTTATTTTGATGGCTTTTAGGCTAATGGTAAGAATCATTAGGACACCAAGGCCCTCTACGTGTACTTCCACCACGACCACCTCCTGGTTTACCAAGAGTCAGAAGGACCAAGATCCTTAAGGTGGGTGGAAGCAGCTTATTTTAGGGTATTTATGGTCACAACACCCACTGACATGGGCCATTAGCAATGGTCGGCAAGTTTGCAGAAGGTGGTGCACTATTAGCCCTGAGTGTGGGATCCGGTAGGAAAGAACGAGAGGCTGTGGAAAAGAATGAAAACAAAAGCAGCCCATTACCCAGCTGTTAATGCAACTTGCCGACATCTGTCACTCAAGGACGAGGAGAAAGCTTTCTTGCTCTACAGTTTTCCATCTGGGTGTTTCTGTTTATCATGGGAAATATCTAGTACACAGTGATTGTCTCACAATAATATTTTTGCTAACTCGTAACAACGTTGTGTACTAATGAATGGAATAAAAGGAAAGACAAACTGAATTATATGCTCTTCTCCACTCAGTACTATTTGAACAAAGGTTGATAAGAAAGTAAATTTACATCTTACAGAATAATAGAATTGTCTAGAAAACTTCTAGATCAGCACTGTCCAATTAAAATATAATGCAAGCTGCACATATAATTCATAATTTTCTAGTAGCCACATTTAAAAAAGTAAAATGAAACTGGTGAAAATAATTTTAAGAAGATATTTTATTTAACCCACTATTCCCAAATATTATTTCAACATGTAATTAATATAAAAATCATTAACGAGTTATAGTATATTTGTGGCATACTAATTCTTTGAAATCTGGTGTATATTTTACACTTATTGCATATCGCGGTTCAGACTAGCTGCATGTCAACTGCTCAATAACCACATAGGGCTACTGGCTGCTTTGTTGAACAGTACAGCTCTTGAAATACATATTAAAAATTGGTGAGTTGTATTAGGAAGAATAGGCCAGACAGGGTGGAAATCTTAAATTATTTTGAGGGAGATGAGAACAAGACTAGACAGTTTTTATGAGGTATATTTCCTTACATAAGAAAACTATAATTATCTTCTAAGCAATGAATTAGCATGAAAAATGTTACCCATTAGCAAATGCAGCCTCATATTATGCCATTATATGTCTTAGCTTTAAATGTTTCACTGCTGCCATTGGTAATTTTGGAAGGTGTTTAATTTGGGGCAGTATACTTGGCTAAATATTACAGATAGCAAATATCTCGAATATCCTATTTTATAAGGTGCCTGGTCGGCAGTCTGAAGAATAGTCCAGTAGCCTGGAATACTGTTGACCCCAAAACAATGTGGGGGTTAGGAGAACTGACCACAGTGCAATTGAAAATCTACACATAACTTTTGACTCTCTAGAAACTTAAGTTGTCGCTTGGTATCTGTGGAAGATTGGTTCCAGGACTCTTGTGGGTACCAAAACCCCACGGATGCTCAAGTCCCCTGTATAAAATGTTGTAGACCAATGCATACAGTCGGCCCTCTGCATCCACAGACTCTCAATCACAGATTGAAAAGAGTACAGGTATTTATTGAAAATAATCCACGTGAAGAAGACCTGTGCAGTTCAAACCAGTCTTGGTCAAGGGTCAAATGTATGCATCCTGGTATTGGAACATATGTAGCCTTCCTTGAAGCAGGGTCCAATTCATGTAGCTATTTGATTTACCCATGAAGTAATCCCCTGTTGACCTGAGTTTCACATCTCACTTTATCCTTTGAAAGGATAAAGGGCATCATCACCCCAAGCACCCCAACATGGACTCCTCTAAAACACTGGTAAATTTTGTTCCGCTTTCATCCCTCGTTCCAATACTGGCTGGCCAACTTAGAGTGAAAGTAAGTACAGAAGTGAGTCTTTCTATTGTGTTCATCTTTCACCAATCCTGACAATGAATATTTGCCAACAGTTATATAACTATTTTAGGTGTCTATACTGGAGATAAGGTTGATTTTTGTCTGATCAGAAAACCATAACTTGCCCTAGAGACCAATATATCCAGATCTATAGGGGGTAGTTTGATCTAGACCTTTCCAGATGCCCCACCTTTCATATACAGTATATCCAACTTACATTTGGTTCTAACTCATAGCCACATTGGACCCTTGGGACCTTAAAGAAGCCTCATGTACTTCCCAAGTTAGTGGCGAGTTCTGAAAGTGAGATCAACTTCCTGGTTACGGTTATGGTGGATGTCAATGGGAAAAACACCATGTTATGTCTGCTTCTACTTTGAACTGCCCAGGGCTCCTTAACGCCAGTCCCAGACGTGGGCAAGCATCCTCTGAGGCAAGCATACCTCGATGCCTGGCTACTGCTTGGAGCTTTGCCATGCTCGAGTTGGATCATGCTTTTTAGGGCAAGTGCATGTTAACTACTATAACCAGTCCATGTTTTATAGGCCATAAAGTTTATAAGGCCAGCAGAAAGAATATGGCAAAAGCTTAAAAAATTTGCGACAAATTATACCATGTGGTAGTGTTTATGCTGATAAATGACTCATCTCATATACATTTCTTACCATTCCTTCCTGTTGATTCATTCGTTCTTTTATTTTATTCAATAATTTTAATATCTTCATTGTAAGTTTGTACTACTATTCGCCACAAATATAAACTATCCAGATAACGTTAGCATGTTGAAGGATGCAGACCTGATGGATTCTTTATATTCTAGAAATACTGGTACCAGCTGTTTGATCATCTTTATTATAGAGTCAAACCAAATTTGTGTTCCTTCTGAAAAATTATCATTAATCCATATTCTTGTTATTGTGTTTGTCTTGTTATAACCTTCCAAACTTAAGTTTTACTCTCCTATTTATCTAACCCATAAACATGGATTTTGGTGGTAAAGTAACCTACCAAAATGAAGCAAATTTTATTAATCACTCTTCATTGAAAGGCATTTTGTTGCTATAAACCTGAGATCTCATTATTAGCGGGGAAAATGTTGATCCTGCCTTACAAACGAAGAAGATTGGAACTTTGTGTGTCTCACCAAAATGGCTTTTGAAAGATTAAATTTCACATAGGGCCTTTTTGGACCCAAGTTTTCAGTGCTGTGGGTATGAAGTAACCTTTTGCCTTGCGGATACTGTCTTCTCCTGGTCTCTGCTAAACACAAACAGCCCTGTTTCTTTAAAAATACAGCATTTTTCTCACAATTGAGTTCCTATGTTTATTAATTATTTAATTGCATCATTACACTATCCTGGTATCTGACTTTACATGGAGAGTGTTATAGTTCATCAGATATACCCTGTAATAGTGTAACTCCATTTTACCCCACGTGGAGTGTCAGCTTTCAAGTAGGGATTTAGAGAAATGTCATGATGAGAGGGTAGGTTTTAAAGGGGATGTAGGTCTTAATATTTTGGGTTTTCTTGCCCGATGTTAGAAAAATATTGCCCTTGTCACACTTTCTCTAATGCTGTATACAAGTAAAATATAAAATTGTCAGCATCCATGAAGTCAGGTAGTGGTGGTTCCAAGGACAGTGGCTTAAAGTTTTAGAGAAATATGGTGGAATACTTAAAATGAAGTGTTTTGCAAAATTTGATAAGAATCATATAGGGTGTGTTTTAAGTATATAAGAATCACTTGTGGTGCTTGTTAAAGCTATAGATTCCTTATGCCCTCACCGCTGAGCCTTTAATTTAGAAAATCATGACCAGTCTGCATCTATTAGTCATTCCAGGTGGTCACACTTTGAGGCAATGGTTGCAGTGCTTCTCAAACTTGAGTGTGTGTGCACATGGCATTAGCGTCTTGTTAAAATGCAGACTGAAGTTCAGGAGGTCTGGGGTTAGTGCCTGAGACTCTGCATTTCTAGCACGTTCCCAGGTGATGCTATAGAAACTCTTAACTTTGCCACTCACCCTACCTTGGGTATCTTTCCATTTCTATATCTAACTCATTACATACGTTTGGGCTGGGTTTTGACCTTTAAACCTTCAGCTTGATGTAATTTACAATACTTGCTTACCTTGTCTATATTGTCCTTTTTCTTTTTCTTTTTTTTTAATGTGTATAGATGTGCGCCAGTTGCGTCTTGAAGTGCCATCAGCTGTAACCGAAGTTCCAGCTCCCGGGACCACCGCCAGGCATCCCCACTCCCAAGGACTGAAGACCATGGAACTCTCTGACAGCGACCGCCCAGTCAGCTTCGGCTCCACGTCATCCTCTGCCTCTTCCAGGGACAGCCACGGGTCCTTCGGCAGCAGGATGACCTTAGTATCAAATAGCCACTTGGGCTTGTTTCACCAGGATAAGGAAGCAGGGGCCATAAAACTGGAGCTGATTCCAGCCAGGCCATTTTCCAGCAGTGAGCTGCAGAGGGACAGCCCAGCCGGGCAACAGAGCACAGATGAGGGTGACGAAAGGCAGCTCCGGGCCCAGCGGAGAGTGGAGGCAAATGGGGCCACCAAAACGAGTGTGGAATCGGCCACTAGCCCCAAGCTCCTCTATGTGGATAGAGTTGTCCAGGAAATTCTGGAGACCGAAAGGACTTACGTGCAAGATTTAAAAAGCATCGTAGAGGTAAGGCAAACTTTTTTTAAAATGTGTCACGTGGGATAAATATGCTTGCAAACTAAAGAACAAAGCCAGGTGTCAGGGATGCACTGTCTCCTGAGATGCAGAAGTAATGTGAATGTTTAAAACAGATCAGAAGAAAGTACGACAAACCCTATGGCTGTACTCATTGTTAAAATCTTCTTAATATTTGCATTAACAAATTGATTAAGCGTTAGGAGCAAGAATAATAATACCCATACGTTCACCAGTATGTCGTGTGAAGAAATCCTACACCAAAGATCTGAGTGGCTGGCAGATAGTGGAGCAGACAGAGGATGGAGTTGTCAGATGTATCCAGATAGAGTCCCATTAGGCTATCTTCACTTTAATCAGAACTGTCAACTGGTGTCTGGGAGCTTCCGAGACTACTGATACCTGTGTCCCACCTCTAGAGAATCTAATTTGATGAGTCTGGGGTGTGGCCTGGGTGGTGGAATTGTGAAAGGTCTCAGGTGATTCTAATGTGCAGACAGACTTGGGAAATACTGTTCTATGCTGTTCTCTGTAATGGTTGGTTGGCATTTGGGGGAAGGCGGTGAAAAGTAGACACAACTGGGCTTTGTCTTGTCTTGGAATTTTTGTTCACTTTTATAGTAAACAAGTTTGCATAAATTATTGGACTGTGTAAATTGAGTTCAGCTTATGTGCCAGATTATGTACTCTGGAAATTCAATTATTAATTTGACTTTGATTTATAGGTAGGTTTTTAAGGATAAAGTAAGAATTATCAGATGTTAACTCATTCTCAAGTAATGTGAAAAATATTAATATTTCAAAGGCAAATGTATCTATTATAAAGGTATGCTCACTTTGCTGCCTAGTAATATGCCAAATTCTTTCATCTGTTAGTGCCTACTTCCTATTTTAGACTTTTAATCCAAAATAGATTTCAGAATATAGTAGAATATTTGCTGATGAGAACATTCTCCACTAAATACATACGTTCTTCTGGCTTTAGCAAAAAAATTCTAAGGCATGATTGCGTGTCGAGTTCCACAAACAATAGAAGCAGACATTGTCTACTAAAAATAGTTATGACATAACTTCCCAGTAAAAATAGAAAAATCAATTGATGCTCAACCAAACAATATGCGATACCAAATGTCGAATAAGCCAGGCCAATTGTTTTAATTTCAACAATGATGTCATTTGTACTTGAGAAGAAATACCTGTGAAACTGCCAAAACTTTTACAATCTCTCAGGAAATTTATGATGGTCAAGCTTTCTTTGGTCTCTCCTTTTTTTCCCTCCCTCTTTCTTTCTTGGAATCTTTTTCACCTAATCAAAACTTGCTATATTGAGGGGAGGACCCTTTCTTTACTGTACTGGGATCCCGTGAACATTCTTGCTTTCTCTGAGGCCAGTTGATAAACCTGAATGAGGAAAAATAAGGTAAGATATGAATGAAACAAAGGAGATGAAGAGAGTAGAGTGTTCGCGTAAGTCGCCATGTCTACGTGTTTCAGATCGCAATCATTTTTCCCCCCGAATAAATCCTTTCTGGTGACAAGAAAAAGAAAAAGAAGAAAAACAATCAAGAAAGAGTATTGGCTAAGGTTTCAGTAGAGGTTCTATTTCAGGCTGTCCAAATGTTCTTGCTTTTTTTTTCTTTATCCATGAATTAATCATGTTTTACATTAGGCATTGATGGACATTTTCTATAAAGGGCCAGATAGTAAATATGTTGGGCTTTCTGGGCCCTGAGGTCTCAGTCACAACTGCTCAGCTCTGCCATTGTAGCTGAAAAATCAGCCTTAGACACTACGTCAATGAATGGGTGTGGACATTCCAGTAAAACTTTAGGGACGGATATGACCAAATGGCCATAGTTTGCTGATTGCTTTATTACACAGTAAATTTGTGCCTATGTTTCATTGCCTGTAAAATGGGACTAATAAATAGTACCTACCTCACAGGATTATTATGAGAATTAGATTAGATATGAAAAGCTCTTACGACAGTGCCTGGCACATGGCAAGCAATAAATGGAAATTATCACCAGCCTCCTTTGAATTTGCTGATTGAGAGTAACTATACTATGTCTTACCTAGGGTCTTTCAGAAAAATAATCAGATTAGCCAATTCACTACATCAGAAATTTAATTAGGGAAAAAAATGTAAATGGGTGATTCTGACATTATTTTGAATTCAGTTGGATTATTTCTAATTCATCCTCTGAAAATCTGAGGTGACACATAGTTAGGGAGAGGAAAGGTGAAGAAGGGTGTTGGGAGGGAGGGTAGTTGGGGAAGAAAAGCCCCAACAGCACAAGGAGGTACCCAGGTGGGAAGAAGTAGATACCACTTTGTTCCAGAAGTCTCCAAAGACCTTGAGTCACCCACCGTTACCACCTAGACAGCGACAATCTCTTCAATCAGGGAATAGTCGTGGCTGTCCTTTCTTCACATTCTTTTGCTATGTGACTGTCTCTGTTTTTCTAGATCACAATTTTAACAGAATGGTTAGACCCATCTTACCTGGTTCTTACCTTAATGAAGAGTAACCAATTACAGCAGGTCCTGGAATAATGTCCATTATTAGAGCATTGATGAGATGCCAGAGGAAATGCCCGCTCGTTTGTACCAGTTGGCCTCGCTACATTGGCTCAGTTAGTTATACATCGTTTCCGTTTCCCGTGTCGTCACAGAACCTGTGACGACATTGCGTGAGGACTTACTGTATTTTCTCACTTGCAGCAACGCTACCCAGGAGAGACTGTTATAAAGGGTATTAATTTAAAATACAAAGTCCCAATTCCTTTAAAATCTGTTTTCCTTCATCCGTGTCTAACCTGTTTGTACAATTCTCTCGCTGACTCCTCCAATATCCTTGATTTTCTAAGTGCAGAATTTTAAATTGGAAAAAGGGCTGCTCATTAACAACCTACTGTGATAAGCTCTCACCACACCTGCAAGGCAGAGCTGTTTGTTACTTGGGTCTTTCTCAGCAAGTATTATTTCTGGGCTGGGGTGAGGAGGGCAGTCTAATCATTTATAGTGATAACTGGTAAGTCACTTTTCATTTATGCAATAGCACAGTTTTGAACTTTCTGTGCTCTGCTTTATTGAATCCTGTCTAACTGAGATCCTTTTAATAGTCATTCTCAGTTTAACTAATTTCCCCTGTAAGTAGTACATTTTTTCTCTATACTATGTCCATACATAATCCTCACAGCTCAGGTTTAAATTTGGTTTTTAGGATTTATAAATAAGAACATTTTGGGGAAGGATCATGGATACAGACACTGATCGAAGAGACATTAACACAATGTGATTTGATATATTCAATATCACGAGAGGAGCTTACTTCTGAGAAGAGGTCTTTCTAACTTTATTTAGACAATAAGTTTCCCAGACGTTGGTTACATATGCAAAGCAGGTTGTATCCTTTTCCATATGTAGAGACATTGTATAATCCCAAATACATAGGTATTTTTTCTTTCTCATGCCATTTAGGGGTTCAGAAATGACTTCTTAATGCTTTTTGAAAATTTAACTAAAAAATGTTATCGTTCTCATTTCTATTACTCTTCATTCCTTGCATGACTGCCAAGACACTTCTCTCTGGGCCTCCTGCTCCCTCCTCCATAGTGGCTGCTCCATCTTGTGCTCCTTTGCCCGATATCCAAGTCATTTGCTTTTGCCCACTTGATATTTGAGAGAGAGAGGGAGAGAGAGAGAGAGAGAGAGAAAGAGAGAGAGAGAGAGAGACAGAGAGGTGAGGTCTTGACTGTCACCCCTACTCAAAGGAATAATGGAGCTGTTATTTCCATTTCTCTATATGGCTCCTAATAATAGTCTCAAACAAAATGAGATAATAAATAGAAATCACATTTTTAAAGTTAAAAGTTAAGTAGCCAATGATACAATTTTGGAAGAGAAAAAAAAAAATGTCTGGAGAGAAATCCATAGTTGGAAAGTAGAAAACGAGGGTCTCTTTCATTTCACTGTGACCTCGGATTGACTGAGCAGGGACTCTCGTGGGTAGAGTGGGTTTCTTTAATCTTTCTAAATGATCTATCAAAGAGCCTTTGAGTGCCTCAGAAGCTTTGGCCCTGGATATAGTTCATGGCCTGTTTTAACCTTTTAGGAAAGTTTTTAAATAGTTCATAATGTTACATAATGTTGTGTAATTGGAAGTTACATCCCTACTACAAAATGTCATCTTTGAACTATAAGAGATGCTAAATTAAATCATCATCTTTGGGAGTGTTGAGGACATGTGTATTATGAAAAAAGTGGGTAGAATATTGTGTAACATATGTGTATTTTTTTCCATCATGTTCTAGAGAACTAAAATCCTTTTCAAGTACCTTTATCCATACAGTGTGTTAAAAAAGCTAAGAAATGAGTATTATTAAAATTTAAACATTTTAAAAGCCAAAGCCTTAAACATAGTTTTGTTGACAGCATTCAGCATTGTTCAAAAGCTGTAGGATGAGAATGGTGATCTCTGACCCCTGCCCACCTCTCGTTTCTCTTTGCTTATCTCATGATAGTACACACAGTGTCAGGGTAGGTGGATACTTTTCACACACTTAGGGACATGAAACACATTGAAAACTATTCTGCTCATTGCCAGAGCTTAGACAAGGGGCTGCTCTTGGTACTAGAGGCATCCAATTCATTGGAAGGAGAACTCTCTTCCACTTGGGAAGCAAGCCTTCTCCCATATTTGTGCAGAAACCCAGGGACCAGACCTGAGGAGTCTGTGCCATGACTGGACCATTAACTCTGCTTCAAGACTTAGCTCATGTTGGGAAGCAAGCCTTCTCCCATATTTGTGCAGAAAGAAAAAGGAAACCCAGGGACCAGACCTGAGGAGTCTGGGCCATGACTGGACCATTAACTCTGCTTCGAGACTTAGCTCATCAAGTGACTAAGACTTGGGTAGAATGGAACCTGAGTTTGCTTCGTCCAGGGCCACCCCTCCCTCAAGGACGACACTTGATTTGAGGTGGTTT